TTATGCACGTAGGGGAAAAGGCATTAGTTATCAAGAACATGATTGAGGCGCTTGTATATATGATGTGTGGCTCTACCCCATTTAGAATATGAATTACGTAAGAGGATCCCACCATATAATAAAAAAAAAAAAAAATGTGTTTCTGTGTAATATCTTTCCATGCAGTGCAACGCAAATGAGGAGTCACAACTCAACTTTATCATCCACCACTATATTGATAGTTAGCTAATAGCTATTACGGTCCACGGTCTTCCCCCCAAGAAAGCTTCAATGCTAAGGAATTGAACTTCCACCACTATAAAAGCAAAACCCTAAATTCATTAATTAATTACTCCGTACTTAATTAATGTAAATGAGGTACACACCAATACTGCATATTTATAATTACTTATATGGTCTCCGTGTATGCGGCTACATGCCCCCCGGCCCCATTGTGTGTGTGTATATATATATATATATATATATATATATATATATATATATATATATATATATATATATATATATATATATATATATATATATATATATATATATATATATATATATATATATATATATATATATATATATATATATATTTTAATATGAATAGGTTTTTCCTAATTTGACAATTGTTATGTTAATTAAAACTAATATTTGATCAATATGCGGTGTGTATTATTAAATTATATTATGTGAGGTAATACATTAAGGAACTTTTCACTAAATGAGAAAGCTTGCGTTTTTTCGGGAAAAAAAAAGGAAATTTCATTCATCAAGTACAGTGTATTATTTCGATTTTTAAAAGTGAATGGGAAATAAATTTTAAAGTGGTGAGGTCTTATAGTAATCTAATTAGTTCAATAACTTGAACAATAACTCTAGTACATTAAGTCCAAGAATTGATTTTATGAAGAATTGACTTAGCTTGAGCCTGGAAGTCAGTAAGACATTTTTTAACCTTACTCGTTGAGTAAACATAGACTAACTTGACTGGTTGAAAAAATATGTAGTATAGTCACCTTAACTTGTCTTGTAAGAGTCATTCAGTTCGTCTAACTGACTTACATTTACAACACTAGTGACATAAGTTGACTTATACCTAGCAAGTGTCAAATTTAGGTATAAGTTGACATAATTAGATTGCTTCGACCTGCATCATATTCGACTGGCCGATCACTTTGTAGCCATTCGGTCAATACATTCTTGATCATCTCATAATATTTTATCTCACAATTTAACTATAAACCTCTATTGTACTCTCAGTCTAATTTAGGTTATCACAATAATTTTAACTTTCTATTAATAGTTAATTAAAAATATAGCTTATTATGTTTTTTAACAAGCTATCCTTCTTGTTGTTGTTGTTGTTGTTTTGTTTTTGTTTTTTTGTTTTTTTTTTTTTGTTTTTTTTTTTTTTTTGAGATTGGAAATGTCGTAGAAATATTGATGAGTTGAAAGGAAAGAAAAAAATTCCAAACTAAACAAGCCAAAATTTTTCTATGAAGTCATATACTAATTAAAGCGGGTACAATTTATTTAGAATCATTATATACTTTACAATTTTTTTCTTTTTTTTTTTTTATAAAGCAAGAAGTCAATTATGGAGTAGTATATATTAAAATATCTTTATTTTTGGAAAAGTATATATGCAAATATGCAATAATGCCGTGTTTTAGAAACTCTCTATCACTATTATTGCATTTTATATACAATATCTTGGAAGGCTAATTCAAGGATTGCTTGTGCTAGTGGGTTGATTAGAGATCATTATGGGACTTGGGTTAAGGGATTTATGACCAAAATTGGGGTAGGTGATAGCTTCGTTGTGGAGCCGTGGGGCCTCAGGGATGGTCTACGGGGTTCTTAATGGACTTAGGTTTTGAGAGGGTCGAAGCGAAGTTGGATGCTAAGAGCAGGGGCGGAGCCAGAATTTTTGTTCAGTAGGGGCGGAACATTACAACAAAAAGATAGTTTGAAAAATAAAATAAAACACTTAAGAAGTTATCCATAAATATTGTTGGATATAGACAAAAAATAAAACACATCAAAACATTATAAAAATATTTATAATAAAATATGAAATATAATTAATTTGATATAATAATTTGTAGGTGTGTAAAAATCTAAAGTAATTTTAAAAACTGTAGAACAAGCAACTATTAATAAAAATAGTGAAAGTCTACACTATAGCCATAGGAGGGATTCAAACCCGAGCACTCTCATTGTATAACATGCATTACTTGCCACCTGATCTACCTCAACTCTTGTTAACATTTTATGTTTTCTTCTATTTATACTATAACTTGTACTATATATACATATATAGATACAATGTTATATATGGGGTGGGGTGGGGGGAGTGGGGGCAGCTGCCCCCACTGCCTCCATTGTAACTCCGTCCATGGCTAAGAGTGTGGTTAAGGTTATGAATGATAAAGATAACATGGAGAATTTGATATCCAACTTGATGGTGGATTGCATCTCTATGTCCAGAGGATTCCATTCCATTGTGTTTCGGCATGTGTCTAGATCAGAGAAAGAAATCGTTGCGCTGATTGGCTGGCTAATCGGGGGCAAGCAGAAGATTGGGGCACGACTTATTTTGAAGATATTTCGCTCGGGTTGGAGAATTTAATCAAAGCTGATGCGGGTGATTGTTTTTCTCGCATGATCAGATGACTCGTGGGCTAATTGTGTTGTGTCTCCCACTAATATATATATATATATATATATATATATATATATATATATATAGTGAAAGGTTCCGGTGCATTTGTTGCTTCCCGTGCGGATGTGCGGTGGATTAATGTGCCTGAGATTTGTATTTAATGTGCGTGAATGTGTAAAATGCAGCAGAAAATATTGATGTCAGCTTCTTCCCCATCCCCAATAGCCATGTGCGTCCTCCCTGATGATGATGATGCAAAGGCGAGCTATGGTGGTTAAGAATTATGGGAATAATACAACAGAAATCCACACTTTGCTGCTGTGCAAATTTTACTGTGCGTGCGTCATTTATATAAACAATCTCACGCACATTAAGCACAATACTCAGGCACATTAAGTACAAAACTCACGCATATTAACATGACGCACATTAAGTACAAATCTCAGGCACATTAAATATAAACCTCGCGCATATTAATCCACCGCACATCCGCACGGGAAGCAACAAATGCACCTGATCCCTTCCCTATATATATATATATATATATATATATATATATATATATATATATATATATATATATATATATATATATATACACACACACACACACACACACAATATAATTCGTGTATCATGCATCAAATATAAAATAAAATTGGGACAACTCATTTAAGTTGGTCAGGTCGTTGATTTTGTAATCACAAAATTACAAGTATGATTTTAAACGGGAACGAGGCGGAGCTACCCCTTAGATTAGGGGCCCTGTCCCCCACCCCCACTTTTAGTAGATATATGTGTATATATTATTATAATATGGATAAATTACACTTTTGGTCCCCTCTTAGTTGTTTTTGTTTTTTGTTTTTTTGTTTTTTTTTTTTTTTTTGTTTTGTTTTTAAATCTATTATGTATATATTAAATGAACTCAAAAATATATATATGAAAGCCCAAATTCATTAAATAAAAATAAATAAATTAAATAATCAAATTCACCATTTTTCTTTATTAATTAGCTTATTTTTTTAATTTTGTCCAAAAAAAATAATGGAGGACATTAAGTATCTAATTTTTTTTTTTTTTTTGACCAGGACTATGTGGTCTAATGTTACCCGGGTTGGACTTCCATTTGGAAGATTATGTGTTCGAGTCTCAGTGGAGGCGTTATTGGTTCTTTGTGTTTCAGTAGGTTGAGAAAGTATGGTTCTTTGTGAGCCAGAAACTTTCAAAAAAAAATTAAGTATCTAATTTAACTTCATTACTCTTTAAATTTGAGGTATATGATTTAGTTTTATTTGTTGATTAATTAATTGGTAACTTATTATGTGTTTTTAACTTTTTATTATTTATTTACACTTTTAGAATGTAAATTTGTTAGGTTAAATGATTATTTTTAAAATTTACAAAAATTCAATCTTGGTTTTCGTCTTTATCCCTTAAATTTTGAAATATATATTCAATTAATCAGTAAAATGAATATCAATTTATTATGGAAAAAGTTGCTGTTGGGGACCAAACAATTGATAACTTTTTATTTGATAAAAGAGTGACAATGCATATTTAAATAAATGTAAATATTTTTTAGGAAAAATTATAATTTTTGCCCCTAAGTTATAGAGCAATTGTAAAATTTGTCCCTAATTGTTGGTCATGTTCACTTTTTGTTCCTAAGTTATAATTGAAGTCGCAAATTAAATTTCGTCATTTTAATAATAGGTTGTGCTCACTCTTCGTCTCTAAGTTATACTAACGTTGTAAATTTCGTTCCTAATGTTTTGTTAGTAAAGAGACGAAATTTGCAACATAACTTACGGAGTATATCTTAGGGATGAAAAGTGAGCACGACCAACAATTATAGATGAATTCTACAATTAACATAGGGTCGAAAAGTGTAATTTCCCTATTTTTTTTTTTTACTATTGTATAATTGTGTGTTATGTGAAAAATTCGAATGTAATGTTTGACAACCTTAACAATCGTACTCATATAATTATATATTTCGTTATTATTGCACATAGTATAATTAAAAATAATTATCAATAATAATCGACACAATCATATATGATATATAAAATGATATTGTATGATTGGTATTATGTCGACTAAGATGATAAATTTTATCTATAAATTTAATTAGCTCCAACCCAGACTTACTCCGCCCATGAGGGAAGAGCCACCTATTAACTTTGCTTCTTGATTTGAGAGAGTCAATTATAGCAACTTAGCTAGGTTAGTTTACTATTGTAGTGAGGGCTAGTTTTTCTGGTCACTCAAAATATTAAATATTAATTAATTAAAGCAAGCGTCCTTCCCCCTTAAGCCTTCTTTCCTTCATCTTCTCTTTTTTTCCATTTCTCTTTGTTGGGCTGCCTCTGGTATTGTCTCCCCCTCTCTCCTGCTCTCTGATGCTCCCACCATATATTTCCAAAAAACCCACAAAACTTTATTAAAGATAAAGATTAAAGAGAGATCTCTCGAAAGAAAGAAAGAAAGAAAGCAAGAAAAGAAAAAAAACCATGGTTTTCTCTTCTTTTCCTGCAGTATATTTAGATCATCCCAATTTGCACCAGGTGAGGTTTGGTTTTGTTCTCCACCTCGATTTTCTTCTCGAAAAAAGAGGATTAAAAGGGGATAATATTCATATTCATATTCCTTTATGCAATCTTTTTGTTGAATATACTTGATATTGTGTTGAGATAAATGATCCTTAGTAGCCAAATGATTTTTTTGTTTTTGTTTTTGGGTTTGGATAGTTACAGCAATCTGAGCAACATCAGCGAGGAGGTGGGTTTGAGAATCCGCCGCTTCAGGCGGCGGCGCCGGCGGGTGGCGGTGCGGGGTCAATCCGGCCGGGTTCTATGGTGGATCGAGCTAGGCTAGCCAAGATTCCGTTGCCGGAGGCGGGGCTGAAGTGTCCGAGGTGCGATTCCACGAATACTAAGTTTTGTTACTTTAACAACTACAGCTTGACGCAGCCGCGTCACTTCTGCAAGACGTGCCGGCGGTACTGGACAAGAGGCGGCGCGCTGAGGAGCGTCCCCGTCGGCGGCGGCTGCCGGAGGAACAAGAGGAGCAAGAGCGGCAACCACGGCGCGAAATCCGGGTCCGCGGGGGCGGCCGCAGCCGCCGCCAGCTCGGAGAAACAGGCGGACGGAGGCGGTGGCTCTAACTCCACATGCGCAAGCCCTACGGACATCACCGGACATTTCCCGCAGCTGCCCTTCATGGCCGCCGCCGCCGCGTTTCAAAACCTAAACCACTACGGCGGAAGCGGCAGCCTGGGCGGATTCCAGCCGCCGCAGCTGGCGGCCACAAGCGGCGCCGGAATTGGCGAAATGGGTTTCCACCTCCCAGTTTTAACCGGCTTCGAGCAGCCTCCCCACACCAACGTATACCCCCCTTTTCACAGCGAAGGAATCGAAGCTTCATCGTCGGTAAAAATGGAGGAAAACCGCCAAGGTTTGAACAATTCAACAAAACAATTCTTAGGAACCCTGGAAAACAATCAATATTGGGGATGGAGCGGGTTTTCGGGTCTTAACTCATCTTCTTCCACCACCCATCTTCTATGATCTGCTTCAAACTTCACAACCCTAATATATATACACGCAAGAAGGTGAAGTGTCACAAGGCGGGCTGGGTATCACTCTCAGGTGTTGGCTGCGGGTTTTCTTCGTCATTGATCCAAACAAAAGAAGGTGAAGTAGTGCCAGTTATTATCATCAGCATGCATGAGACCAGCTTCATTCATGTGTTTTATCATTATATATATTAACCATGAAATGTTACTTCATTCCTATGTGGTAGCTAAGCTAGAGTTTGTATCGTTCTAATATAAAGTCCATCTATCTTTCGTATTTGTTCTGATCTTAATCAGTTTCATTTCTTTCTTGTAATCTTGGTGTTCTTTCATTTTGTGTCGTGCATTTTGGCTTGTTTTCATGGGACAAACCTAGTATGTTATCCTGTATAATTAACTAATCTCCCATATATTATCACTTTTGAGTGGTTGATAATATTTGATTTTCAGCTGTGGTTTTAATTGTGTGACTTGCCATCTCATGCATGCAAGAAGATGAAGAGTTTATATGTTGATGATGCATGCATTCGCTTTGTTTCTAGTTTATTCTTTGTGGTTTTTTTATCGTTTTGTATGGTATACATTTACAAAATTAAAAGGTTGTTTGGGGGAATTAATCTTTGTGTTAGTGGGGTGGGGGTGGGGGTACCGGGGGGGGGGGGTGAAGCAGATCAGATGCCAATATATATAAAAGCTTAATTTTGACATCATGTTCAAATTAAAGGATAGCTAGGGCAAAGCTAAGGTACCCCTGCCCTTAATTGCATAGAAGACAATAATTTTTTGTTTTTTCTTTAACTTAGGTCATCCCAGTTTAGTCCCTAGAAAATAAGGTTTTATTCCCCATAGCGGTTAACGCTTTGATCCACTTTCTCATATAGCTATGTCAAAGAATGTTCCGGGACATAGCTTAGTGATACAAAAGATAGAGTGAGGTAAGTTTTAGTAGCATTTTGCTGCAGTGTAGAGAATTGATTCCGGTCAATAACATGGTTTGTAGTTAAATCCATTGCATGTGGGTACCAATATAGCAAGCTCTAAGTCCCTATTCATTAAGACACATATGGGGTGTTTGGCAAATAGCTGTTAGTGGATTGGATTAATATGCATGTCCTACTAGCTTATAGCATTATCTGATTGTAGAAAGATGTTTGATAAATTAGTTGTTAACTAATTACTTATTACATTAAAAATGACCTTTAAGGTATAATTTATTTTTTTAAAAAGCTGATTCAAAAAACAACTTTTTGAATTTTAGCGTTTTGGAGCAATAAGCTTTTACAAAAAGCTAATTAATCAAACATTCATATTAGTTGCTTAACCAAGTCAAACAGATAATAAGTAGTCAAACAAATCAAAATTGATTGATAAGCTAACTATGTTATCAAACACGACCTTAGTGATTTACCTTTTCCAAGCCATCTACATGATCTTAAGGGAAGTGCAAAGGCCAAATATCGGCCTTCAATCAGGTTGGAGAAGGAAAATCACTATGTTAAAGAAGTGCAATGACTAATAATAGTCAAACAAGTTAAAATTGACTGATAAGCGAGCTAACTATGTTACCAAATAGAGTTATATAATGATTTACCTTCTCCAAGCCATCCACATGGATGATCTTAAGGGAAGTGCAATGGCTAATAGAGTCCCTCAATCAGGTTGTGGTTCCAATCATATATATATATATATATATATATATATATATATATATATATATATATATATATATATTTGGTTTGTTATGAATAACTTAGTTGATTTACTTTCTTATAGTCTTTAATCAACTAGAGTCACAAAATAGGGATAACATACCGGAAACACCCACATTCAAATAACGACTCCCAGTAAATAAAAAATTTACTAAATAATTCTTGTGCAAGCTTATCTAACAATTGTGTGTGTGTGTGTGTTTTTTTTCCTTTTTTTTAAAAAACAAATTCTCATAATTAGAAACTCAATAACTACTTTATTGATTTCTTGGAATGTGCATTTTTTCATGATTTTCAAATTATAACAATGTCGATCACATTAGCAACTCATCAAGATGTACTTTTAGTTATTATCATGCATGGTTAGAATAGTAATTACAGTACTAATTGTTTTTTGTTTTGTTTTACTGCGAGACCATATATAATCAACTTTGAATTAATATCATGTGATTATTACCACTATTAGAGCATATAAATAATTAGACTAGAAATTTATGTTGAAGAAAAAAGTGCTATAATTAAACTAACTATATGTTCAATTCTTACTACATTGTAATAGAGCCAGTAGCACTAAAAAAAATATATATGTTCAATTCTTAAAAAAAAAGGTGTTTTAAAAAATAATTATGAAATAAAATTAATTAGTCTAAAATCCTATACATGGTTAGAAATTAAAGTTCAAGAATGAGCATGGCTCATAACTAGAAAGTCAAAAAGCAAATTCACTCATTCAAAAGTTAAAAGTAAGTCCATAAAATTTTGAAAGGGTTGGTTGGGTAAGTAAAATATGATTATTGTATCTAGAGATTATGAATGTAATTTTTGTCAACACCCATTGTATATGATCTTTCTAGTGTGTTTGCGGGTTATTACTACTTATTATATATGAGCAGGCCGCATTTATCTTGTATACATTCTTAGGTAGTGGTTGTTGTGGGTTTTTTCTTATCATAAAAAAATAAAAAATAAAAAACCAAGAAAAGAGTCCATAAAGGCAAAATAAACAAATTTATCATAAAATCTCTTAATTTTTTTTTTTTTTAAATGTGCATTTAGATATAGTTGGTAATGGGTTTTCTGTGGAGAAACAGGTAATAACTTAAGGGAAAAGCCAAAGTTCCACTAAAACCCTAGCTTGTGTTACTATTGATTAGTAGAAAGTATATACAAAATGAAAGTATACATATATATATATAGGTATGGAACTTTAATGATGTAATAAAATATAGATTAGTGACTTTTTTTTTGTTTTTATAATTTTTTTTATCACCCATCAAAATATCAGAAAATTCAGTACGTATATTAGAAAAGAAAAGAAAAAAAAAAAACATAAACCTGGATATAGGTTCTTGGATTCTGAAGAAATTTTTTTAAGTTTATTATTGACTACTTTTGATGAGGGGTACATGTGTAATAGAGACGAAATATTTTTTTGAATCTCAAAGTGGGTTAGAAATTTCGTTTTTGACTGATCACTCCCAGTGATAAAAATTTTGAATTTTTCAATGATGATATCTCTTATTTTATAAAAATGTTAAACGAATATATTATAATTTTATTACCAAAAATTAAGATACAATTATAACAAGGCATTTAGAGTGTTCCATGTACTTCATTTTTTTTGAACACTATTGACTCTGTTATATTGTTGTATCTTATCCATACTTACTTTCTCAACCTACTGAAACACAAAAGTTAATGCCTCCACTGAGATTCAAACATGTGACGTCTCATTTGGGAGAGTCACACTTATATACTCAACCGTAAGGTCTTTGGCCCATGTACTCCGGCCATATAATTTAGTTGCAAACTACATTTTTTAAGCTAATAAATTTATGTTGAAATTCTATTATCTCTTCCCTACCACCTAATATATGAAAAGAAAATAAATAAAATGCTCTGAAGGGGTAAACCATGATACTTATACAATCAAACTCATACAGGTTCTTATAGTGCACTTTATTGCTTAGTGAACACACTTAACTACTAGCCGTGAATTTTCTTGTCATTAAAAAAGGTACCGTAACAACCTTAAATTTTCATTTGTTTTTTTTTTTTTTTTTTAAAGTAGTATTTCGTATTTTCGTGTGGAGAATATGCCGAGAAAGATGACACAACAACCGCTTCTTGAGGTCAAAGTCAAGACGACAAACTTTAGTCTTCTTCAACAAATGATAGACTTGGAATTTATCTCGTGTCTTTCTCTCTCTCTTCTTCTCACCTAAAACTTTTATATATAAGGACATGGTGAATTAAATGATTAAACACAAAAAAAAAAAAAAAAAAAAAAAAAAAAAGATCATTGTGAACACAGAATTAGGTAAAATGCTAACTTTTTCTCCTTTAAAAGGGTTATAATATAATATTCTAGTCGCCGTGTGTGTTCACTAGTTGAATAAAGAAAGAAAGATGTGAAAGGAAAAAAAAAAAAGTTAAGTTGTCAAACGATTGTCGTGATGCATGTCAAGAAATAATATGAAATAAAATGTAGTCAATATAATGCACAATTCAACTATAATCAACCCAAAATAACCTGACCATCCCCAAGCAAATCGTGTCACCCCAAACCCATAAATATTACATGACAGGTAAATCTCGATATCTATAGTTTACAGAAGTAGTTGGGAGTGAAAGTTCATCCTCACGGCCATATATTCAACTCTTAACAATGTGAGGAGGTATGAAATTAGCCTGGACACCAATATATATATATATATATATATATATATATATATATATATATATATATATATATATATATATATATATATATATATATATATATATAAATAAGCATTTGAAAAACTTTCACCCCACAATTAATCTCATACACTAACAACACGTCTGGTTTACGGAATGAATTTGGAAGGAATATGAATACTATTCTACAAGGAATGGAATATGTAAGGAATAGAATAGAAATTGTATTTTATTGTTTGGTTCGCTGAAAGAATAGACTAGTAATTGTATTCCAGTGGTTGGTTAAAGGAATAGAAATAGAATACGTTTTAAAGACATAAATACCCTTATACATAATAATAATAATAATAATAATAATAATAATAATAATAATAATAATAATAATAATAATAATAATAATAATAATAATAATAATAATAATAATAATTATTATTATTATTATTATTATTATTATTATTATTATTATTATTATTATTATTATTATTATTATTATTATTATTATTCCATATTATAATAAAAATATATATTTATATTTATATTTGTTTCCCCACTTATCCCACATCGGTTCGAGAAGTGGAAAATGGAGTCTTGAGGCTCCACTATAAAAGGAGTCTCAAGGCTCCATAATTTCAATTGTAATGCCCATCCGCTAAGCAAGCGGATTGGTAAGCTACTTAATTTAGGAGTCAAGGCTCCATAACTAAGGAGTCTTCACTACTGGAAATTATGGAATTTCCGACCACATGAAAGTGATCTTAAATCAAGTCGAAAGCAAAAAGTGATCGGAAAGCAATGCTTATACAGTGACACACACACACACACACACACACACACACACACACACACACACACACACACACATATATATATATATATATATATATATATATATATATATATATATATATATATATATATATATAATTTATTTAAATATATATTTATTGATAGATAAAAATTATAATTAAT